ACAGGTAAATAACAATATTATACTCAACCACACTTTCTTACAACCACGTGATAATATAAGGTCATCTCTCCGATAGTGTGACCTAGGACGGGGTTAAAGGTCATGTTTTGGTAAAAAAAAAATAATAATATGTTTTTTAAATATAGTGCATGAACAAAAATAGAGTTTCGATTCATATGCGTCTCTCTCTGACCGATATTTTCTTTTTATTAAAGTGAAGTGAAGTACAATAGAAGATGCTGTACATGAATGTCCGTGTTACCATGCAACGAATATATAGTGTGTCTTTAGGTATAAAGATATAACTACGCTGTACGCATAAAATTGAATGATTTCTTTTTATGATTAAACATGCATTATGCAAGAGCAAAATCTGCTTATTGCAAGAGAAAAATCTGCTTATTGCAAGTCTTTCTTTAGGGCTGAAATGTTATCTAAATTATCAATTAGACATTAATTAACTTATCCAGACCATAATAAACTCTCGATGTCAAGGCTAGCCTTTGATGTTGGCTGGATTAGATTCCTATATGCCGCTAACGGCCATTGATGATTAAATCAGAAAAAGTGGATAATCGAGACTATGCTGTTTATATTAATGATTTTAGTAATGATGACCGAGACTATGCACAAATTTCACCCGCTTCTTTCTCGGCTCATAGTGGATCAATTTGACTTAAATTTCCAGCAAATTACCTTTACACTGTTTAGTTTTTAACTATTATAGCGAGAACTGCCATCTCTTTATCTTATCTCCCATAATGTATCTTTAACTAAGTCGAACGACTCTGAATTGAAATGTTTGGGGTTTATTAACATACAACTATTACCTACTGACTATCTACTGTAGTAACTACCTACTGACTAGTTCAGCTCCCTCTGATCATGACCAGCTCCGACTGGGCTAATGAAGGCATACTTCTGTATCATATGAGGGAAATTTTGCCCACACACTTGCGCTACGACCTACTCTTATATGTAATTAAAATGCCATGGGTCTTTATACGTGCACGCCAATTTGTACATGGGGTCTCGGTTTTTCGTCCCATTCGAACGACTATACCCTGTCCCTTGCCAGACCCTGTGTCATGGACCACGCCGGAAAATTCCAAAAAACTTTCTTGGCCAACACCGAGATTGAACACGGGACCTCCAGGTTAGCGAGCCATCGTCTTACTCACTGAGACCTTTGTCTTCTCTATAGATGTTGATCCAAAATCTAGACCCGTTTCTACACGCACAAGCCTCGCCACTGTTATTTTAAAATCGCGACTGATTTATAAAGTGGCACCCTCTAAAATCTGAAACAAATCAATCTTTTTATCTATCCAATGATTAGAATTAAAGCTCAAAATTTAATTTTGTTATACCCGAAAACTGAACACAGATCCTAACTGCACTGGCAAGATCGTTTTTGATTTACTAGTAAACTTCTTCATATGGGGACAGGGACATACGCAAATTCGAATAAAGTTGGATTGTCGGTTGTGTCCTTCAGATTTTGTCTTAAAGATACATTATGGGAGATTCGATAACGAGTTGGCAGTTCTCACTATAATAGTTAAAAACTAGATAATGTAAAGGCAATTTGCTGAAAATTTCATTCAAATTGATCCACTATGAACCGAGAACTAAGCGGTTAAAATTTTCGGCTAGCATTGATCATCATTAAAGTCAGTACGATAAACAGCATAGTCTCGATTATCCATTTAGTCGTTAAACCGTGAAGGAAAGTTATGCAGTAAATCGGCTCATGATCCACTAAAGATCGCAGGCTAGCGATGCCATCTAGATTTAATTATGGTCTGAATAGGTTAATTAATATCTAATATATAATAGTTTAGATAACATTTCAGGCCTAAAGAAAGACCTACAATAGGCAGATTTAGCTCTTGCATAATGCATGTTTAAGTGTCGATTTGCAACAACATATAATTTATTTGTTTATACAAACAAACATGATAATCAGAATTTCTTCATATGAGAATAGGACAATTGATGTTTTAGAGGTCGAAACAACGTACAGCATAATATTACAGATTTCCAATACCTTAGTTTTGCGAAGATGCGAATTAACCTCCATTTCGAAAAATAATGACGATTGACGCGCTGCTCCACATTCAAATGCAACTGTCAGCGGTTATAGATTCTTGATATCGACAAAACAATTAATTACTTGAAAAATAGACAAACCTGTGGAGTCCAAAAAGAGACGACATTTTATCTTCCTCTTCGAACAATAGTATTTATGCAGATAAATTATTCAGTGAGATACGTTTGTGAATGTATGGGGGCCAGCTAAATGTCATTTTAGACAGTAATTGTCTACAATATAGGTTCAACTCTGACACATTCATCTGTTATGATGGAATTCTAAATAATAGCTTATTAGCATAACAAATTAGAATACCAAAGCGTTTATAGGCTACGGGGTAAAACTATGATGTGGACTAATCTGTATTTATTTGTTAATCAGGGTTAGGTTGACCTTACCGTGCTAACATAAGGAAAAGGGTAAACTACTAAATCGTTTTAATAGGATTAAAAAGGAACTTCTCTCGAGTATAAATTGGTGTGCATAAAGTTCACTTGATAATTGGGATAAACCGCAAGCAAGAATTTTTTTTAACCGTGAATACTTATTAAAGGGAGATAACTACGGTCTTTAAGTCAGATAAGCCTTCAAAAATAAATTGAGGATGTTGGTTCGAATACCAAATTATTATATTGGCCAGGGGAGATCCAGGCCCGTAGCTAGCATAGAAATGTTGGAGTGGGAGGCGGGCAGAGGGGGGTAAGGACTCCTGGGGGCGCCGATGGGGCTTCTGTGGGTGCCGATGTACCTATACTTGACCGTCCACGGCGAACGGCACTGTGGAGAAGGGTCTAGGGTGCTCTACCCCCAGACAATTTTGGAAGATAGGGTTTGCACCCGAGGAGTGGATCTATTAAATTGACGGAAAATTTCAATTTTGAGGTTGAATTTGCGATATTGGCGTATTATGAATCGGGTTAGAGTGCGACTTGTTTGACTTTTGAAGATTATAACTCCTGATGTGGGCTTGAATCAATCTCATCCGCATCGTGAATTCGAACTGGAAAATTTCCTACAATCTCCAGTTGGCTTTCTTATGGTAGATTTCTTCGGGTGTCGGTATGCGGTCGTGGGCGTGCCACCAATCTGGACACTATCGACGCCCCTCCGGGATAAGGCACCCCACAAATTACGCCATTTTGGGCGCCCCATCAGTCAAGTTGTTGTGTTAATCGTGTGATTCATTTGAGGCACCTAACCATTTTCGTTTTCGCCTCCCTAAGTTTACATTTACCTACGAAGATCATTTTGTACCGTGTTTCATTCGGTCTACCGGTATTTTTATGTGATATATTTATCTTTTATCTCATACGTAGATGTCTTCTGATAACAAAGATAAAGATAGGTTTATTTATCAATATCAATGAAACTAGGATACATTGAATCAATACAGAGTTAAAATTTATTGGGTGTACTATACGAATTCGTCGATTATCAATAGAACAAGACAATTCTCGGAGAACGATATGATTTTAAGGTTTATCTTAGTTCTGACGGTGTTGTCAGTGGTGCAATCGGGTAAGTTTTAGCTGATAATATTTAATCGTCGACAAGCCAATTAAATTGTACCCAAATAAAACATATAAATAAAGGACACTGTCATTCACTTTGCTTTATGACACAGTATCAATAATTGACGGCAAACTTTTTGACAAATACACCACGTGCCCAATCAACGGCAATAGCAGTTATAAATTTACTATTGAAATACTCTGAATTATGTCAGATTATATTCTTCATGCCCCAATAATAACCCCAAAAGATATGAAAGAGTTCGTCGCCAAAAACTCCTGTGCAATGGAAGTTGGAACGTTGGCAACTTTATTAGTCCAATTGTAAGATTTGGATAGCTGTCTGTCTATATGCGGTAATAGAACAAAATGCTTCCTTGAAGGGATTGTTTCTTATCATCAAGAAAGTAATCCCACCAATACTTTGAACTTTCTGTACTGAACTCTATTTTCCATCGCGTTTAAAAAAAAGGCTTACAGTATCTGATCGTCATTTGAGAAATTTTAATCCATTGCCCACTACAATATTCTGAGAATTGTATCTCCAATGGGAACATCAGTCACAAAAGGTACAATACCGCTCAGTATTTATAAAGATATGATGAATTTAAAATTACAGACATTATTTATAATCTAGTAGTACCTATAAATATTGGGTGGAATCTTTGATGGACCTCTGTTTAGAACCATTGGTTTCAAACCAGTATATATAATCACAATAGGAAGTGACGAACGCAAAAGGAAAACACGAGTTATCCCTCTATATAACTGGCTGAAGTGACGGGTGATAACAGATCCATGGGCGAATTTCTGCTCACTTAAAATTCCTTCGAAGACCAAAAGTTGTTATATGAGACTGAAAGAGTATATCTGACAATTCAAAAAAGTAATTGCACGTCATTAGATAAGAGAACACGAGAAAAAATAGAAACAGTCCGTACATTCACGGGTGTTTATTCATTCTATACTTATAAAAACATGGTAATGCACGGACTTTTTCTATTTTTCTTTCATGTTCTCTTATCTAGCGAGAGTAAATTTTGTTTATGAATTGTCAGATATCCTATCACAGTCCCATACAACAACTTTTGGTCTTCGAAGGAATTACTAGTGAGCAAAAATTCGCCCATGTATCTGTTATCACCCGTCACTTCATTCAGTTATATAAAGGGATAACTTGTGTTTTCCTTTTGCGTTCGTCACTTCCTATTGTTGAAACATTGATTACTCATCTATCATAGCAATGATCTCTGTGATAAAATAATATTTGGAACGTGTTTAACCAGTTCTATCACATATGTGATAATGACTGGCACCAATATTGTCCTTTAAGCCGTGAAAAGAGTACTATAAATAAAAATGTAAACGACGGTTATCTCATTTAAACAGCTACGAAGAAACCAGAGTGGAAAGGTTCTTTTGGTGGTTTTAAGATCAACATCAATCCAGATGGAACCTATTCAATTAGTGTAAAAAATGTCACATGGTTAAACAGTGCGCCTACCTTCTTCCATGCTGATGGACTACGCCATGAAGCGGGCATTGATCTAAAATTAACGAATATAACCAGTAATGATGGCTCCGACAAACTTGGACATTGGACAAGGACCAATTTTTATTATCTTGCTGGAGCTGCTCAGATCGTTGCCTCCATAAAGACCTATATTAATGAATCAATTCCTTTGGTTCTCTTTAGTCAGGTTCGTCAATTTTGTTATGTTTTAGTTGCATATAGTTTAGATATGAATACAAAAGCAAAGTAAAGATTTGCTATCTATGTGAACTTCCCAAACGAGAAATGTTCAAGAAACAATAAACTCGTGCATGTCACCCGTGACACAAGTTATAAACGATAGGTCTAGTCCTTCGGATGAGACGAAAAACCGAGGTCCCGTGTATACATTGGAATGCACGTAAAAGATTCCTTGGCAGTTGGAATTCGATATAAGAGTAGGCGATAGTGCCGCTGCCCTGGCAAAATTTCCCTCATAGCACACTGTATGGCGTATGACCGTCTTCATTAGCCCAGTATAGGAGCAGAACAGTAGGACGTTAAACCCCATTTCATTTCATTTATAAACGATAGTATGACATCCGAACACCATCTACATTTCCCTACTGACTTTAATGTTAATTCCCGTTTCTTTGCCCAGTTCTAACATTTTCACAAATTTTCATGGAGTTGAGCGGTTTTTACCATAAAGGTAGCAACATATGGCGACCTTGGCCAAATACACGTATGGAAGTAGCATACAAATAATATTTACCAGAACGTGGCAGAAAACGTAAATTCTAACCCGTTTATTCAATTCTAAACCGGAAAGTCAACAAAAACCGCCATGCAAAAGAGTCTATAAATAAAGTCTATAATTCTGGCAAACCAAATGAACAGACTTATAAAATGAGGTCTAGGATTCTCAAAGGCCACCGGCAGCATAGTTTAAATTAAAACAATAAACTACATGTAATCTGTTTTATTGCAGCACTATGTTAATGGTGCCAGTTTCACTACTACTATAGATAAAGATTTTACTATTTCTTCTTTTCCTGGATTTAAAATAGAGAGAACAAAATTACCATTAGGTTTCTTGTCATATGGTGGAATTATGTTTGGAGACACAGAGAAAAAAATAGGAAAGTAAGTTCTCACTTTAGAAACATTAAATATTGATCACTGTGCCCTCCACATATAGTATTGCATGTGTAAAAGTGTACCACCTTCAATACAATGAACTTTTCAACAGCAAATTGATTAGAATTGATTGGGTGGACAATATTATTGGAACTTTCTGGCCGTCTGTCATTATCGTATACGATACTTATCATATTTGGTACATGCATTAGCTTAAATTATTCCCAAAGACTTTAAGAATAAAATGATGAGTTTTTGACCGTTTCAGCTGGAGTTATGACGGTCTTAAAATAAATTCTGGTATTAAAGGGGGACCACTGGCTTTGTTCGATTCTTCTGGGAACACGGTCATTATTTCCACGGCTAACAACTTCATGTCGACGTCTGTTTGGCAAGAGGATTTACGAGAGCTTGGAGGTGCTGTTCACTGGGGAACTATGGGTAGAGTAAATACAGTTCCGACTGGTCATACTGTAGATACAGTGATATTTTATCACAATGAAGGAATAAATAAGGTAACAGTAACACAACGTGATCACATAGTTGTAATACAATACGTAGATGTAGTGGCAGGCGGGGGGTGGGGCGGTAAGTAAATTTGGAAAGAAACGAGTGATTTGTGGCGCATATAGGACCCGAATATAACGTTGAATTTCCCTAGCTGCAACCTCACTATACTTCAACCGATAAAAGGCTAACATTTGCATGTTTCGTAAATAATAAGTGATCTTTTATACTCCTCCCCCCCCCCCCCGCCACCGCCACACCTGGATCCGCCACAACTTAAATGATACACAGATGTAGCAAAGACCCAAACTATGAAGATTGCTCTTTAAATTGTTCGACAAATACGAAATACCTATCATCGAAGTAGCTTGAACATGAATACAGAACCCGACGTTACTGAATTGAGAATAGCCTACTTTTTTTTATTTTTGGAACCTCTCCGACGTGATCCCATGAACTTTGGGACGTATTATTTAAGCTCACCATGGATTAAAAAAATGTTTCTGTGTGCTACAGGCTATGGAAGGATGGGGCGAATATTTACGATATCGTTATAATAGAGATGATAGTTATTTAAAATCTGATTTGACCATTAACTATTTAGGTTATTGGACTGATGCAGGTAAGGTTATATTATTTCCCTCTTTTTCACCTTTCATATGGGACGAAAAAAACACGTTGGTTTGCTCGTAAAATAACCCTTGACAGATGGATTCGAAATGATTCCAACTGGGCAGAATTTCCTCCAAGACACTCTTCATTAGCCCGGAAGAAACAGTAAAGTATAACGTTAAAATACAGTTCATCTAATTGCGCCCCCCCCCCTTGGGGTGGGTTGTGGGTGGGGCAATTTAGCAAGGTAATACAGATATACATAATGTAGATTTTTCAAAGACACAAGCAATCCAAGCATGCTTTTACTTGTATACTGTTGGACACATCTAATTTGCTATTAACCTTAGGGTTTCCCCATTCTTTACATCATGAAAACATACACAAAAAGATGTTTCAGTATTATCGTAGGAATTAACACAATGTTCTGCAACTCATCCCGTCCAAAAACAATGATGTATTAAAGTACTAAACATTAATATTTGTATTTTGTTAGGTGCGTATTATTATTATAACACAGAAGTTGAGAAGAATTATCAACAGACAATTTTAGATGTTTATTCCTATATTAATCAAATCAAAGTACCCTACAGGTTAGTACATAAACGACGATTGGATGTTTGGTGAAATTTTACAGTCTTAGTAAGGTTGCTTGCAGAAAATGAATTTTGTGACAGCAAGAAGTAATGGGTTAAAAGATAATACAATATACCTAATATCATGTAAGATTTAATAGCCGACTTTTCTCTCCGATCTTTCTATTCACTGAATTTATTGAGATGGTTAAAGAATATGCTAAATTATTCTCAGATATCTACAGTATGACTCGTGGTGGTATTATAAAGGCATAACTCATGGTGTTAAAACTTGGGTGGCACGTCCAAATGTATTCCCAGACGGAAGTCAGTAAGTTCGTTATATCATTTTAGTTCACTAGACATCACCTTTCTTTTACTTGTGATAACACTTTCATTACACATGTACTGTTTTATTTTAGCAAATTTGCTGATGCCACTTCTCGGTTTTTTCGAGTGTTTATGTAGCTAATATGTTTCTATATAGTTCGGATACAAATAATATTATCTGAGCATGCATCAAGGTTTCGTTATAAGATACATATTATCTAATATTTCTCATAGAAAAATATGTTGCATAAACTGCAATTGTCTTATTGTTGTATTTTAATTTCAGGTATATATTTAATAAAACTGGGTTACCTGTTTCAGCACATAATAGATATTGGTACTAATTACATTATCATATCTCTCGTACATGTATTTTATCAATTGCGCTTGGTTTGCTATATCCTTATCCCATTCATTTGCTTGCTCACACCTTTGACCGTGTCTGTGCTCGCACAAACAGTGCCCTTCTATTCTACTGCGGAAGTGGAAGCAACGCATATTTAAATTAAAGGGGCATTATGCAAGATTCTCGCTATAATAGTTAAAAAATAGATAATGAAGGGAATATATTGAAAATTTCAGTCAAATTACTTCACTCTGGGCCGCGTTATCGCCGTTACAAGATAATAAACATCATCTCGATTATCCACCCTTACGTTAAATCATTAACCGCAAATCATATTTAAATCTGTTCAAAATTTAGAGAATCCGATGACATCGAGAGTTAATTATGGTCTTGGTAATTTAATTAATGTCTAATCAATAATTTATATAACATTTAAGGCACAAATGAAATCGTGTAATAGTCAGATTTAGCTCTTGCATAATGCCTGTTTAAATTAAAACAGTTATGTTTTAATAGTAATGTTAGTTATACATTATTACAATACTAACATTTATGCTGCAAAATATTGCTAACATTTACCTGTTATTTCATTACTCACAGTTGTTTTATACATTAACAACGGTTATATTTCATTATATTAACACTAATTATGATTGGTTATTAACGTTCATTAATTGTATCAATAGAAAACGTTAATAATATTTATGTTTTATTATGTTAATAATAGTTTTACCTGTTATTGAAAGGGATAGAGATACAACGTATGCCCAACAAAATGGCGGAGACTATAAATTCATCGTCGGTCTTCTCAAGGCTGTTCCCATGGATGTGGTAAGAATTCTAAAATCTGGTGAAACTCATGTTAATAAATTATTTTTACTTTTGGCTGGTTAGCTGTTAAAAATACCAAAAGATGGGTCTCCCAAAAAATTTCAATGACCAAAGTCTGGGCGGAACATCTGGAAAATCAGACGTGTGCAAATAATACAACAAAGTACTAAAACACTTGTAAATAAAACTATATTATCTTATATTTTTACAGAAACTATGGAACCATATTTTCACCGAGGCGCGAAAGTGGGGATTGATCACATATGAACAGGTATCTATAATATGATAATACACTGAAAGACTGTTTGAAGAATGCAGTTATAATTGTTATATAGGTTAATTAGATAATGAATTTATTACACGTTCTTTTATTTTAGTTTGGATTCTTTGTCTATTGTTCATTGTGAAATTTGAAAAGTACAAAAACATCCGCCCGTGCTTGATTATTTTTTTTTAATTTTAGGATTGGTTAAATGATGAATTTTCTGGCATGGAAGCCTTTATCGCCGATATAAATAATGCTAAAATATGGCTAAATCTGATGGGACAAGGTGCTATGGAGAATAAAATAAATATACTTTACAGTATGTCTAATTCTAGACATGCCATGCAGACATTAGAAATACCTGTTGTAACCCAGGTACACGGACTCTTATATTAATAATGATTGAAATGAAATGGGGTTTAACGTCCCAGTTTTCTTCACAGGCTGGGCTAATGAAGACAGCAATCTCAGATCGTATTCGTTTCGTTTGTTTATAGTAAAAAATTTCGTTTTACTTGTTTTCACTGCACTAGGATTTTGAAGAGTTGTTAAATGACCCGCGTTATGCTGGATCTGAGGGAGTAGCCAATCAAGTGGTCTGTTGAGTCGAGTTCTTGTTGCCTAGCACGCGGAACTGTGGATAGACGTTGCATTTCCAAATACCCACTTGAAACACCGACGAGGATTGGTTAATCCAATGCTTGCCGCCTTACGAGTCAAAAGCCCAGTGTATGTCCTTTGTAACGAGCTCCCACTACAACGGTTAGATCTAATGGATAAGGCCCACTTCACCAACCCTAATCCTAACCCTGGACCTATCCCTAATACTTACCCTAAACTACAATCTCGCTAACAATCACGTGCCCTAAACTTATTTACATCTTGACGAAAGAGATAAATATATGACGGAGATGTTATATAAACATGTTTAATATACATTTTAGGCTCGTGCTAGTGATGATTACAAGCCTGGTAACAGCCAATGGAAAATTGGTATATCGTCCATGTTTGCCCATGCAATGGGCGTGGCACCGTTCAAAGATACGTTCTGGACAACGTCAACCCAGCCAGGCAATCCGTACAGTAAGTTACATCACATCCATATTCTGTATCTGTCCGTTGATTATGGTATCTTTAAAAGTCTCTTCTTTCTTAAAGGCGTGTTGTCACCTTTCTTAAAGAAAGCCGAACAACAAAACGTAATTCACTAGATTTTCTTTGGATGCCTTCGCAACCATTTCGGTGCCGTTAACTAAACCAAATTCACTGTTTGAACTAAACAGACCCTATATTTATTTTATAGATAAATCCGAACCCAATACCAGACTGCAAGGTTTCGTAGCTACACTAAGTACAGGACCAGTTGGACCAAGTGATAAAATTGGTCTACATAATGTATCATTAATCATGAGGTGAGGATTATCAGCCTTCGCTTCTCATAATATGAGGCGTCTTTCATATACCCAGTATGACCGCGGCAATGCTAATAATTTAACCTAAACAAAGGGAAGCTTATTATTAAAGTATTAAATCGAATAACGTTTATATGGGACAATATACTAACTAACTTTGTAATATTTTACATCATTTGAACTTGAAATATATCCAGTCCGTCGAAATTATAATATTATCAAGAAACCTTCAACTAGTTTGCAAAAAACCCTGATCCTACTAGGGGTGAACAGATATGCATAGCTGAACTTCAGTAGATTTTATTTCATATGACTAACGGATCGATTCCCGGCGGAATGAATCGCAGACTGTAAAGTCTTTACAGGGTTTTGCTTAAATGGACAATTACTCCGCGAGAACATTTGAGGTACCAGCTGTCACCATTTCTACTTGTTAGTGACCAATATTATACAAGATTCATGAACTACATACCGTATAATTCTAGTGTTAATGGGGCATGTCATTACGTTTAAATTCCACTCTTATCCATAATAGGCTGGTGGGCGGCTGAATGGTTAGCACGTGCGCACTGTATCATAAGGTCTGTCATGTAGTCAACTGGCGGGGTTTCGATTCCCCGGTTGTACGTGAGTAGGATCGCTTGTCCAACCTCGTGGGTTTTCTCCGGGTCCTCTGGTTTCCTCCCACTTCTAAAGACACCTATGCGGAAGCGAATTATTGAAATAAAATTGAACCATGCGTTAGTCCCGAAATGACCTAGTTTGTGTCGAGTGGACGTTAACCCTCTCTCTCTCTCTCTCTCTCTCTCTCTCTTATCCATAATTCCCGTCTTCATTAACCCAGTCTGAGCAGAACAGTAGTACGTTAAACCCCATTTTATTTCTTTTCATTTATCCATAATTATTACATTTATTTTGTTATAAAGATGTTGTAACGATGATGGCCTGATTTTAAAACCTTCCAAACCAGCCAGGGCCATAGACAGTCAGATTTACCAGGTAAATAATCCAGGACTATGGAGGTCCGTGAAAAACTGATTTCACCCCATTCTCGTTTTCGTTGACACCGAAATAATATTCCCATATCTAAACCCTCCACGTATATTAGACTCGCAAAACTAAAGAACCCAATGAAAAATCCACCCAGTACAGTCTAATGACGAAACTTCCAATCCAATCAATTCTCTAAATCTACTGCCCATCATTTTACAGATTACTATATGTAGTAATATCGGACTTCCTTGATGTGTTTTCTTCGTGATCGTAATATAAAACCACAGGTTAAATGGTTTCTGCAGCTTTATTATTAAACTGCTTGCAAGGCTTCTATGTTCCACGTAGAAATATCAGGGTGAGTTCTGATCAATTCCGCTCAACACCCTCCTTATTTCTGCACGTTATAGACTGACCTTGACGTTAATTTCCTTCCCAAATATGGAATAAACACCCCATTCTCCCAAGACCATGGGGGAATGGGGGGGGGGAACATTACCTTATTTGGTCTACCAACCCCATGTCATAAACAGATAGAATTTGATGGATATTTGACAATGGTTAGGTTTTCACCAAAATATCACTGTTTTTTTATATATAAACATGTCGTCCGCTTTTATTAGTACGTGGGTTTTGACTCTATAGAAAGAGTGAACCAACAATTAGTCAAAGACACAATATGGTCTAAGGACCAAAGTCTTACATATATCTCTTGCAACGTATTCTATTGTAAATGTTGGATCTCTAAAAAGAATATCAGTCCGGAAATGGTTCATTTTGGTCAATATTTACCAAGATATGATGCATTGGAAATTTCACAACATTGGCCATAAACCGCAAACTGTGTAGACAAGCCGGGGTCACCTTTGAATGTTGGATAAATCTTTTAATGCATCTCTTTTTAATCCTTGAGTGGCATTTAGCGATTGAGCACATTAAACGACAAGAGAATACTATATGTGTATAAACCAGTGATTATTTTTCCATATAAATTGTGTTGCATCGCTTTTAGTTAGATTGAAACCAAGTCGGGAGAGTATCTACCATTAATGTTTTGTTTTCTTAATTACATAACCAATTTAAGTATATACTTTATCGTGGATTAAGCCTAGAAAAGTTAGATATTGTCCGAGAATCACAATCATCAGCTTCCCTTATCCAGTGCTTCTCTAGAAATAAGATTTGTAATAAACTTTCATATTTCTGACAGTCTGCGTTTGGTAGTGGTGGTCCTATAGGAGAGGTGTGGACAACGTATTCTAATATTGGTATAATTGATGAAAGACATTTTGGTATTATTCTAGCAGCAGAAATAAAAAACACCTTTCATCTAACACCATCTCTAGCAGGTTTTGGCAATGTAAGTAATTGTCTGTTGAATTTGTTTGTCTTGTTTATCATAGAAATGAAATGAGATGGGGTTTAACGTCCCACTTTTCTGAACGATTGATTTATTGAAGACTGTCATAGCTGACGGGCTACTGGGACACATCTAGTACTACACTACTGACCGATTGAAAATCCCGAGGAGTTTTGTTGACCAAAACGGAGAAGGGACCCGGGACCATCTGGTTATTAAGGTCTACACTCACCTGAGTCGCTGTGCCTCTAGTATAGAAGACGCGTCTAAACTTTATATGCTTCAGACACATTTCCAAGATGGTGGCATTAAAAGACGCTATGAATTTGTTCATACATTAAGAAGAGATTTTGGGGATTTTTTTTGTCAGTTTGCCTATCGAGACTGGCAGCAGTAATGTAATTTATACCATAGAAACTTATTAACTTGTGTGGCATACTTTTAACGAATAGTCGTCATTCCCGTGGCCAGTGTCATGTTGTCGGCGTCTAATTATTTATATATTATTTGTTATTTATGTAGATAACTGGTTATAAAGTATTCTATATGAATAATCCACAACAACTTTTTGATTTCACAGAGAATTCACCAATAACGATAACTCCCGAATGCACAAATGTTGAGTTTTGTGTGTATTATATTTCACCAATTATAAAAACAAGGTATTGGATGGCTTATATTTTTTATGGTTCTATATTATCAGTTTATGCTCCGTTCGTGACAGTGCAGTCATTAGCAAGCTCTTTCAGGCACATTTCATAGAAACCACCGCATGGTTGTACGTGACCGGAAGTAGTAATGGTAGCGTAGTTTGGGTCATTAAATAATGGGTTTCCGCATGTATATCAGAAACTTCGAATTTTACAGCGTGCCTTAGTTCACTGTGTAGTACATAGACTATCCATAGCCCTACAGTTATTTGTTATACAGGCCAACTTATTTCGTTCCAGGAGGGTTGGCTGGCTGAATGGTTAGCGCTGTATCATAAGTTCTGTCATTGGATTGAATGGCGTGGTTTCGATTTCTCGGTGTACGTGACAATGAGTAGGGTCGCCTGTCCAACCTCGTGGGTTTTCTCCTGGTCCTCCGGTTTCCTCCTACTGCTAAAGACCCCTAAGCGCAAGCGAAATATTGAAATAAAATTGAACCATGTGTTAGTCCCGAAATGACCTAGTTTGTGTCGAATGGACGTTAAACCTCTCTCTCTCTCTCTCTCTCTCTCTCTCTCTCTATCTCTTATCCGTACGATTTACATGTGTTATAAAACATTCAGATGCGTCATATACCCCCAAAACATTAAATTAAACAGAATGTTAACAGAGATAGAGACATTATTTACCACAATGAGACTTTTAATTCTATTTTGATTTCCCTAAGCTATTTATTTTTTTTATATTTGATCATTATCATTAAGAAGTGGAATGCGCCACTTAGAATTGGTTAATGTGCCCCCTGAGGTACTTCTCAGCGTGCTTGCCACCCCCAGATCTACTTGTTATCGTGTTTTTGTTATTTTTAAAATTTTATTTCAGTCCAGAGATTGTCATTTTGGGTGAACTGTCAAAATGGGTTCCGGTTTCGCCGCAAAGAGTCCAAGAAATCAACCAATCTGACGACATTATAATTACAATCACTGGAAAACAAAGTGAATCAGTAACATTCAGTTTTTCTGTAGACGGTGTTATCAGGTCTATTAACTGTGTATTAGGAAGTAGTGGTACTGCTCAGATATACGTCCGGGCAATGTCTTGTGTATCAAGTGAATCTAGTCCTTAGTAATCTTAGACTTTTCTTGATAATTCAAATATAAAAAAAATAAAGTTTTCTAAAGATAGATTCATGTACAAATGTTTGTCTCCGAAAACCAAGGTTTTCTTTTACGAAGAATAACCATAACATACTCTGCTAGTGGTGTATTTGATAGAATAAAATATGCTAGTGGCGCTTGGAAAACGCCACTGGAGGTTAAAAGTATATTTTTGTAACGTTTTCAATACCCTAAAGGACAAATCACACTGTCATCAGAATGTGATGTGGTGTTACTTTAGGGGGATTGAGTGGTGGAGTAGTCTAACCGAAATTAAGATCTCTGTGGGGTTTCTCCTTGTAAAAAAAACCCTTTATCTCCAGTTTCGTCCCACTTAGTAAGATCTTTATGTCAGTAAATTATGGAAACATATCATGTTAATCTCACAGCGACCTTTTCTGTCACTCTTATTTCACAACATTTAATATACTGCCGGTGTCTTAAATTCCAATGGAGAATGTTGGAATACATGAGAAAATATTTCGATATTGATTTGTTGATTGAAGTATAACCATTTGCTACCTATTACTACATGTGCCTATAATATTTCCATTTGATAGAAAACGGCGAACCATCTCGAGTAGAGACGTCATATATATATATATATATATATATATATATATATATATTAGAAAGGTTGTCTGAAATAAACGACCATGTAGCTATTTCATGTGCAAAAAACTATGTCTAATCCGGTCATGCAGCGTCCCATCCCCCAGCTACTAAAAGTAGCGTTACTGTAGCTGTTGCACTACAGGAACACATATAGCGTTCACCAAAGTCACAAGAAAATTATTATTCGCTAAATGAACTAATTTTGGTGAGTCAACTTTACTGTGTTCCAACTAAATAATGGTGGCGTTTTAAATATTAAAATGTTAAATAATTTATAGCTCAATTAAACGCTGCTGGAGATAACAAAGCATTTATTGAATCACTTACAGCGGCATGTAAGAGTGGCTGATTGCGATTTAAGATTACTAAAAGTGCTTAAAGTTCAATCTCTAAGTTTGTGTTTACATGTATTTTTATTCCCAATACATAATCAATTACAATGGCACATGAAAGTCTAACACTCATGTCAAAGAAATTTTAAATCTTTTTAAAAATCCATAAAACCTTTCACGAAAAGATGTAAAAGTAGTTATATTTTTATAGACAACAGGATAATCACTAAAACATTGAATTATTTTCTTTCTATTAGAGATGGACATTTTATATTCATAGCGGTGCGATTGATAATCAAAGCGACTATGGGACAATATTCCCAGAAGATGTTCCAATCTTCAGAAGAATTTATTCAAATAGTTTCCATCGTGAAATGTGACACCCAACTGGCCCCACCATGACCGAGATATTTCAAATCAGAATAAAAGTCGCGAAACCTAATTAGGCATAATATTGTATCGAATGATTGTTCAATCGGAAAGTAGGGGTTAATTCATGCAGGCTGATAGATAACGCTTTTTGATTGCCGCCAAGGGAGATAATTCCCACCGTTCAACTGCCGACCAAACGAATAAATTGGTTAATTATTTGTTATAGCTGCTAGGGAAACACTAGTTAAATCTCGTGTGGTCTAAACATATAACCTTCTATTGTTTGTTAATTTAATATAGGATCCCCTTAATGATTAGCGGTCCATTTATGATAACGATCCCCCACGGGTGAACTTGATTTACAAATCTGGAACAATCCTAGTGGTTTTTATATTGATGTTTATGGCTACACTAGTCGATAAATCATGTCTTAATGACCAGTGGTATTTGGTTGGAACCGTACCAAACTGTCGAGCCTATAGACGTGTAAATATTAACGCATTTTAAGATGCTACTGGTGGGTGATAATTCTTATTTTAAAAGATTTTCTACAACTTAACTACCAAGACAACAAGGCTTAATTCGTCTCTTATACTGAAATATTTCCTGCACGTGCCGGGATTAAAACCATGGTTGCTTTCACCATTGTTTTACCAGTTTTTTTTTATCGGAAGTTATATTCGATCCTCACGTCCCTTAATTTCCATGTCTGCTGCAGCATAAAACGCATCACGCTGAAAATACCAATGATCTCGAATGTAAATAAGGGAGTTTGATTGGGGAAAAGATCTACTAAATACGCCTTAAATGTTATATTTCATAGAAAACGCACAACAAAGAAAACAAAAACAAAAACATTCCGACTAAACCGAATTTCAACTGCCATGGGATATATTTTACGTGCAAGCTAATGTGTACCCCTGACAAATGGGAACAAGGCTTATAAATTCACGAGGTTCTTCCTGATCCAGGCAAGGGTTCGAATCCAAGCCATTTTAGGCGAGAGTACAATCAGGGTATGCTTTAACATTATTAGTAAGTATAGTCGGGAATGCCCCACTGCTTTGTAAAAAATATAGAAGCAGGAAGACAATACCAGTATATTTAGGTAGACACCGCACAATCCCAAAACACTTAATACAAATTAGAATCAAAATAAGAAGTCAGATTGTAGTGTTTCTATTCAAAAATATGATATTGCAAAAGCTGAAAGATCCACAATACAGAGTAAAATATTCATGATAAATAGCAGATTTACAACAGTGTCTTCGGAATTTATGCAGTATGTACCACATATTGGTTCATTTTCGCCAGTCTCTATTGTGTTCATTTTGGTGTGGACAACACAGTTTACTTTAAAGTCCTATTCTTAATACTATATTAAGGAAACCCATGTGACCTAGGGCTTGTGATTCCTTAAAGGGGCATTATAGAAGATTGGATAAAGAGTTGACAGTTCTCGGCTATAACAGTTAATAAACGTAAACGTTAAGAGAATATGCTGAAAATTTTAGTCAAATTACTTCACTCTGAGCCAAGAAAACCGAATTTAAAAAACACTGTCATTGTTACCGTTGTTACGATAATAAACAAAGTCTCGATTATCCAATTTTGCGGTTAATCATGAACAGACTTTGAATCGCAGATCGGATTCAAATCTGTTTAAAATCGTACCCATCAGATGGCATCGAGATTTGATTATGGGATTGTCATGTTAATAATGTCTAATTAATAGTTTATATAACATATAAGGCCCAAAGAAAGACCTGATATAGGCAGATTTACCTCTTTCATAATGTATGTTTAATATTACCCTAATAGAATGATCTTAAGTTTACAGTCTTATTTGAAAATTATTTGAAATTCAGCAAATTGCTTTCTTTCACTGGCATTGTATTAAAAGAAGCATAAGAATTCAAGTATACCACAAAGGTGTGTTAGTTATGTAAATCTTATAAAGTGATCATGACAAACAGAAATAACACGTTTGATTTATATTAATCGATACCAATCCATATTATTCAGATATTCTGAATCTATAATTCGCACCATCAAAGAGGTAAGATAATATATAATTAAGTTCTTAAAAAAATAAATACATCACAACGAATCTCTGTACATTATAAATAATAACTTAAAGCTAGTTACCCACGATATATTTTAGTTTCCGTTTTTTGTAGGTATATGCATGAGTTTAATATAGTGCATTGGTTTTCAATTTAATTTGTTTAAATCCACAAATAACACCTCAGATTTGTTTGAAAATAGTTAAAGTCTATAGCTAAAATGTAAAATCATGCTTGGAAGTGTATGTTTGCATTTCTTTATATTTATTTGGCTAAATAGCTATATATATTCTAAAACCACACAAAACCCATGAATTTGGTTCACACCCACGCACATGTTTTAATGATATCGTTCGTGTATGTACTTTTCGATTTGTTTCGTATAAGTTATCGATATGTCTTTTTCTCGTATTATTGTAGTACATGGTATCAAAATGTCTGTTTCGCGTGTTATTGTAGTACAAGGTATCAACATTTTTGTTTCACGTGTTATTGTAGTACACGATATCAACATGTCTGTTCCACGTGTTCCAAGGCATCAACATGTCTGTTCCACGTGTTACAAGGCATCAACATGGCTGTTGTACGTGTTATTGTAGTACACGGATCAATATGCCTGTTTCTCGTGTTATTGTAGTACACGGTATCAATATGTTTGTTTCTCGTGTTATTGTACTACGATGTATCAATATGTCTGTTTCGCAAAGCGAAATCAACCACGGGTCTCTACCTTTACTGTCTTAGTTTAATGTTATGTTCTGACTTGATTATGACAAAAGTAGCGTCTTATTATGATAAATGGTAATAAAAGAGATATATAAAATGTGACATATAATATAGTGTTTATATACTTTTATAGAAACAAAACAATTAAAGCTGGAGGCCATTACAATGATTCACATCTAATAAATCACAGACAGGTGAAAGGTATTTCATGTTGTTACACTACCAGTATTCAATGGTACGAAATTGCATACACCTATTTTTTTTAATTTTTTTTGTTTGTTTGTTTTTTTTTCCTTTGCCGTTTGCTTTTGTGGAAATCTTGAGAGGGAGAGAGAGAGAGAGAGAGAGAGAGAGAGAGAGAGAGAGAGTTTTAATGTTCTCCAAAGTCAGAAAAGTTTTATTAGTTTGAGCAGTAAAAGCTGGAGAGTATCATAAATCAACACGTACGTTATCCGCATTATTTCCAAAATGCATTCTATCAATCTTCTTAAAGCCTCGAGGTTTCGAAGTATTTCTCAGCTATTAAGACTGGTTACATATTCTATTTTTTTGTTGAAAATCTATGATTTAGTTTTTATTGTCATGGCACGACAAGGTACATTGTATCAATCCTACATACATAGTATATCTAAATAAAAATCATTCTAAATTCAATATCAGTCATATGAAAGACTTTTTATTTTGAATCTGTAGGAGGAAAGAACGTCACAGAAATGAAATGAGTTGAAATAGTGTTTAACGTCCTACTGTTCTGCCCCAACTGGGCTAATGAAGGCGGACATACGTCATTAGGTGTGCTATATGTGGCGAATTTAGCCCGGACAGCCAAGGGATTTTTTATGTGTACGCCAATGTGTACACGGGACCTCGGTTTTTCGTTCTATCCGAACGACAAGGGGGAACCACACAGGAAAATCCCGATGAACTTTCTCGGCCAACACAGGGATCGAACACGGGACCTTTAGGT